AGAGAGGAGGGCCTCTTTCCTGTCCCAAACCCCTTCACTTTCAATTGCTTCCTCCCGCTGCGAGAGCCACTTCCTGTCCGGCCCTCCGGGGGATACGCAGACCCGCGGGGAACTCAATTCCCGCTGTTCTGACAGCCGCAGCCCACCGCCAGCGAGGCAGCAGGACAGTAGCGCGACCGGAGAGAAGGAGATCAGTCTCCTGGGGAGTGAGCAAGCCACGGGCGGCGCGGAGCTCAGGCACGGGCACGGCGTTCCTGCATTCCGCCACGGATCCGGGAAGGAAGTACTCGACTTCCTGCACGAGCTCCCCCCCACCCCCCGCGGCTCTCGTACCCGGCAGGCAGGCGCACTCGTAGGCCAGGTCGCTGGTCTGCCGGCAGGTGCCGCCGTTCAGGCACTGCGAGGGGGCGCAGGGCACGGAGGGCACCTCGCAGGCGCGCCCGCTGAAGCCCGGCGGGCACTGGCAGCGGTAGGAGCCCGGCGTGTTGACGCACACCCCGCCGTTCAGGCACACCCCGGGCTTGCGGCACTCGTCGATGTCGCTGCGGCAGTTCTTGCCCTGGTAGCCCGGCGGGCAGGAGCAGTTGTAGCGGTTGTTCCAGTTGGTGCAGCGGGCACCGTTGGCGCAGGGGTTGGTGGCACAGGCGTCGATCAGGGAGCAGTGCTGGCCTGGAGGGCAAGAGGACAGGGTTAGGGGGATTCCGACACACGGACTCGCGCTTCACCTACGGAGCTGCTTGGTTTCTGTTTGAGGGGACTCTTTACAGAGGCCACAGTCTGCCAGCGTGTCTTCACTGTGCCGAAAGAGCTCAAATAAATCAGAGCACACCTTCCTCGTTTTGAATGTATATAGTTTTGTTTAAAAGTTATATAATTGTAAAATACAAGGGAACAAATAGGAATAGACCTTTTTTTGCTTGTGTGTAGTCTAAAGTGTACTGTAAAAGTAAGGCTGAGGAATGGTGATTATATGTAAAGTGGTTTTGGTTAGTTCTCTAAAATAACAAAAAGAATCACAAGAATCACGTTTTTTTCCGGAAACCAAGGTCTCGAGTTTCGAGATAAATCTTGAGCTGCCAGTCACAATCTGAGGGTGCCAGTCTAAAAGGAGAAGGAAGAACAAGCTCGATCTTCTGAAGCTCAAGCACGTTTCAGCTGGGCCGGACCGGGCCGCACACCACAGACTGGCTCGCTGGCTTCATGGGGAGCTCCTGTCCCGGGGCGGGGCGCCGTTACCTCGAAATCCTCGCTGGCAGACGCACGTGTACTGCGGCGCCATCTCCGACACCCAGCTCTTGCACGTGCCTCCGTTCACGCAGAGCGATCGGTGACAGGGGTCCTGGAACTGACACAGCTCCCCGATGAATCCGGGGCGACACCTGCGCACACGAGAGGGGAGGAGGAGGGGGTGAGTGTGGCGGG